GTCCTACCCCGCTCTCCCTGGATGGCCTGGGCGGCCTTCCCGGGGATGGGCGCTCTGCTGCCGGCCTTGGCGCCTTCGGCAGCTCGGGGAGGCGGCGGGGCTGGGCTTTGCTGAGGAGGGGCCGGCCTAGGAGCCGCTCACAGCACAGCTGGGTGGACTTGGGCTCGGCTGTTTTGGAGTCTGGCTGCTTTTCTTGCCTTACTGACTGGTTAAGTGTTAACATAATTAAAAAACTCCCAGTGATATGTTTGTACTTGAGGAGTCTAAACCTTTGCTGCTTCTTCTAGCTACCTTTATTTCCCCCTATAAAATGAAAACAATAAAAGATGCGTCGCAAAATACCGTAAGTAGTTATGTTATAATGAGGGTGTGTGGTTGAGGTGCTACCGTTAGAATTTGGGTATCAGTACTAGTTTTAAACTTCAGTAGTTACCGGGCCCTTGATACATCTTTAAGCTTTGCTTATGCTCCACATAATCAATGACATTTGTGTTAGCTCAGTAAGCAAAGGATCTGTCCTTCAGTCTTGTCTCTGATTCCTTGGGAAGTGTTTCTAATTTAAGATTGGTGTGAGGCAGGAACTTGGAACTGATCGGATTTGAAGCCCAGTGTTAGCAGTGATGCTATTCTATTCTATGGGAGTAACTCGCTTGCCACATCTGCGTTCTGATGTTATTATCAGTGCCTGTTCCTCAGTGTTTTGAGGTTGGCACACGAATGTTTGCAGATGAGCATTGCCTTCAGCCTGTGGAGCTGCTTCTGCCTGTGGCCTGATAGTAATGGAGTTTGTAGAATTTCTCACAAGGCTCTAAAACTCTGGAGGGTGAAGTTTCCATAACACAAGGTGCAGTCTCATATCTGTGTTATGTAGGGTGGTCAGTGCTTTAATCTTGTTTTGCATATTTATTAATATTATTTGTGGTTCTTAGTGGGTTTAGGATAAGTGTCATTTAAGGTCTGCAGCCTTTATATGTCTGGCTGAATTAACTGTGGATTAACTTTGCCTCTGTTGGAGGAAGAGTAGAAAATTAAGTAACAACACAATTATGTGGCATATGAGGGTGAGACGGTTGTTTTTTTCAGTATTCACACAGTTTATAGCACACATACTGAATTAATACATTGTTCCTTTAATACCTCAAACTCACTATGTTACTCCCGTCTTTGGATTTAACTTACTGTAGTACTCAGCAGAACCCAGTGTGAGACAGTGAAATACAGGAGCTGCATAGAGCACTGCTGGTCATAAAGGTCTGTCAGTATAGCACACTGGACACGCTCTGGTTTCTTGCCAAATTAAACAGTGGTTATGCTCTTAGGAAGTACCAGCCTCTAGATAAGATACAATTTTCCTGGCCAGCATTAGTTCTCCCACTATACATGCAGGATTGTTGCTGATAAGCACCAAAAGGACAGTAAGAAAGGCTGTTCATAAGAATTGTTGCAAAGCGCCTGATGACAGATTTTGTGAAGTGTTTCTACTAACCAGCTGCAATCTCTGTTTCTTTGGAGCACAGCCTTCTACAGCGCTGCAGCCCCTGTGTAGGCAGTAAGTCCTCACTTAGCCACAGTGGTTCTGTAGTTTACCAAACACAGAACAAGTATTTACTGAGGGCACAACAATATAGTGATGTATGGCAGGGTGATAGGCAGACCTGAGCTGAAAGTTTTATAACTGACCCAAAATCTGAACTGTTTTTATTGTAGACTGTCTGTGAGATCACAGGATACATCCAGGATAAAATGAATTCCAAATTCAGTGCTGAAATGGCAGAACTCTTTTGCTGTGTCATCAGTAATGCCCGAATACCCATGCATGCAGATGTACTGTATTAGGCTGAAAGGAGAATAACTCTGAATTTAAGACTATTGTTTCCAACTTGTCTCCCTCCAACTCCAAAAGATATATAGAAAAAGCTTACTAAATATTTGTAACTAGTATAGAGTACAGACTAAGGCTTTTTGCCAATGATTTACTCAGCAAGAACGTTCCTCTTGAGTGTATTCAAATGGCATCTTCTGCTAGTAATGGAGATCATCATCAGAGAAATAAATAGTGATCTTGTGGTCACCCCAGGAGCAAGGAAGTCCCAGCTGCAGGTGCTTGGTGCAGGTGCTTGGATGAGGCTCTTCTCAGATCAGCTCTAGCCCCTACAGGGAAACTAAAGCACAGTGCAACAGGTTTCATCAGAGGGTTGGGTAAATGCAGAAGTTGTGGCAAAAGAATTGCTGTTTTGCATGCTATGGTTGGTGAAACTGAGAATAGCTTGTTTTGAGTTTGAACAAGAAATTGAAATTAGTGAAGACATTAAAAGTGAGGCAGTAGTTGAAGACAGCGAAGAACAACAGCGATGAAATTATGATGGGGGATGTGAGGTGTAAAATCCAGAAGGCAATAGAAGTAAAGCATAAGAGATGACGCTAACTTTAGGAGATCATTAGTGAAAAGTATGTATCTGTACTGCATGTTCAGTACAGGTAAGTCATAAAAAAATTCTTATATACAGTGTTTCTGGGAGGGAGGGGAGAACTGTTCAGTATTTAAGGTCATTTTGGGTTTGGGTTAAATCTGTGAGTTCAGCTTACCATTATTGTTAGGGCTAACACTAAAATAGGTTATCTGGCAGGTCTAAAAGTCTGAGATCTTAAATGGCAGCATTAAGAGAAGTGCAGAGTTCCTTGGGCTGTCCATTCCCTGTCCCTACCAGCCCTGCGGCCGCAGTCAGAGCTGTCACCCGTTGCAGTGTGCTGGTGTTCAGCAGCCACAAGTAGGTCACGCACAGATGGTCCTGCTGCCAGGGACATGCGGAGTCTGCGGTGCCCTTTGAGGCTATTCCCTGTTTGCGTTCTCTCCCTTTCACGCAGTTAAGTTAGAGACAGTGCAATGAATTCTGATTGCTGCCAACTATTTGATCTTGTGGTCAGTGAGGCTGGAAGCATAAAACAGAGCTGGTATAAATACTGGGGTGAAAGTAATGATGGGGTGGTTAGAAGGGAGGCTGGACTGCTGCTTTATGAAATAGGGCATCACTGTAGGAGGGGTTTTCGTGTGCTAGATGTCTACACCCAGACTGACAGAGGCCCTGCTTCCTGTGGAGCTTGAGCTCTAAGAACAAAACCAGGGTTGATGTTGTCACTACACGCAGGGCATTAATTAGTTCTTGTAGCATCATAGCACCCTCCATTCTTCATGTATTTATCCACAGACTGGGAGGTACAGTTGTGCTGATCTGAGTTAATGTTATGTGTCCCATTTAAAATTTCTTCCTAAATATAATGGCTGACATAACACATCCACTCTCCACCAGCACACTGCCATCTCCTCATTTATTTCCCCATCTCCTGCCTCATCCTTCCTCTCTCGTTAGCATCTCCAGTAGCTGCAGAGCACCAGCAGCTCACCAGAAACTGTCTGGGTAAATACAGCATGACATCTGCCTGCCCTGTTACCTGAGCACTTTTATTTATGGCATTTCATTGCTTTTTACGTTTTCATTAAGTACGTTTAAAAGTTGGGGGTTTTTAATGCTGTCACACGAAATTATAAGAAGCGTGCTGTCTTAGTCTGCAATTAGGAAATTCATAGTGCTAGAAGTGAGGCAAGTCACAGACCATAGTGACAGAGTAGCTGGAAAGATTAATTCCAGCTTTTGCTACCAGGATACTCTAGTATATATTTACAATTTTTTTCTATAAGCACCTGAAAATACTTAAAAGAGTGGATTTAGATCACTGCAATTTTAAGCCAGAGAAGCTTTATGATTTTTATGCATGTGTTAAATTGTAAGTTGTCCAGTGCTTTACTGGACAGGTGACAAGAAAAGGATTCAGGAAAAGTGACCTGTTAGTCCTACTCTTCCGATCCTTGGATGCTTAAGACTAACCATGTAATTGACATTTCCCTTTGTTGTTTTGTTTTTTTAAAGCACATAATAGAGAACGAGTGTCCAGTACAGTACAAGACCAGACGTGTGGTTACAGCTTCAGGCAGTAGAGGGAGCATGGGCACCTGTGTTGAAATCCACATAGGGTCACTCGCGACAGCCAAGAGAATAGACTTTCTCCTAGAATTCCTCCTTTGTCTGCAAAAAAAGGAAAATTCTTTAAGCATACGTTTACCCTGATGTCGAAACGCAGCTGTTGGCTACTAGCACTGTTGAAGCTGGAAGTGCAGGAGAGGGGAATGATCCTTTGTGCCTGCCGAGCTTTTCTCCTTGCAGCAGTCACCTTGGGGGCGCTTGGCTGCTCTCACCTGCAGGCCGGGATTGGCGTGGAGTGGTATCTTTACTCCCCCATGTCTGTGGAGGAGTCTCGTGTCACTGTGGCGGGGTTCTGTTTGCACTAACGCCTGCCTCTGGGGAGGGCACAGGCTCCCTCTTTTCGCTGAGGAAGCCATTGCGTGCACAACTTCATTTGCCAAATGTAGATGTTGCAAAGAGCATCCCGCAGCAGCAAGGGCCTTGCTAGGGCTCCCTTGTGTATGAGGAAGGATCTTGATAAACAAAGAACCTGATGGCTCTGTGAGCCTTCAGCCCTGAGCTGGTGCAAAAACCGAGGAGTGATTTAAGGGGTGTGTCAGCTAAGCTCTGATGAACAGTACCATCCAATAGTTTGAAAAGGAGGTAGACGGTCTGGGTTCATCCATTCTTTTACCAGTGTGCCACTTAGTTTGTGTTTTCAGATATAACACTTTGCCTCCGTGGTGTCCGTTTCCCATTAGAAAGGGAATGTGGACTGACTTGATTGCCGTTTATTAGAAACTTCAAAAGAAATTTATAATGAAGTTGATACTAAGTAGATTTTATTTTTTTAATAGTTACAGTATTGCTTGACTTTTGGTGAGGCACAGTGCTGCCATGATATAGCACGGTACTGTTTAGTGCATCTGGCATTTGTACTTTCTTATGTTCGTTCCTTACGTCAGCGCTCTGGTA